AAGCAGGCGAAAAAGGTGTAAGGTCCCCAGCAGACACAGTACGCCAGGATCATCACAACGACCATCCTGGATACTTCCCTCTCAGCCTTCTGGGTTGACTCAGATTCCTTCTGCTGCATAGCAACCTGTAGCCAACAAACCAGCAAAATCAGATTCAACCAAACTTTCATTAATGATATGATAAAATGAAGGTTACAAAAACTGTAAGCTTAACTTACAGCACGAATGGCCAACCACACAGCCAGGTAGCATAAGATGATGACAGCGAGAGGAATGATGCAGCATGTAATCATGAGAACAATCATGTAGGACTGAACTCCAGGGTCTTCACTTCCACTGAACACATCAGGTCCACAGGATGTCTTCAGTCCATGGGGCCAATACCTGATGACAATATTTCAGGATTTGTTGTTTGAAAATACAATTATGCTCCAGTGAATATTTAAGATTTACCCTGAGATATAAGGCCCACAGAACCTGGAGAACCTACCTGCTCCATCCAAAGACGGGAGGAGCACACCACACTGCAGACCAGACCCAGGAGAACACAATTCCACCTGTGGCCCATTTGGCATCAAACTTGACGTTTCCAAAAGGTTTGCACACAACTATCCATCTCTCCCAAGAGATGATAGTCAGGGACCAAAGAGCAGCAATACCTTTGGAGAGTAAAAGATTCACATTGTAAAAACAAGATTCTTCTATAAGTTAGATTTAAATTAATTTGGAGGCCTAAGTCATGCATAAGCAATCTGGAGACTTACCACAAGTTGAGACGATATAGCCTTCAAAGACACACATTGGGTGTCCCAGAATGAAATATCCAAAAAACTGATTACACACGCTGATGGTGCTGGCAAAGACCGTTTCTCCAAGATCAGCAATAGCAAGGTTGACAAGGATCCAATTAAGGGGATGACGAAGTTTCTTGAACTTTGCAGTGGCCACCAAGACGAGGCCGTTGGTGAAGACTGATAGAACGACCACAAAAAACATCCATACTGTAGCGACGTTGTAAACCCACCGAGGAGCGATATGGTAGTTTGGTCCCTCAAAAGGATCTGGAAGCAAAGGTTTATCTTATAAATGTACACTTTAAAAGAAAAAAAAATGACCAAATTAACCCATGGTGCACAATGATTCAAACTGTATTACATTTCATTGACAAACTAAATTTCATTAGACTTCACACTGATTTATTTTTGATTTGAATCTTTTCAGTATCTAAACTAAATAGTTTATTTAGTAAAATAGTTACCTACAAACAAAAATATCAGAACACTGAAAAAGTTCAGATACAAAGTCATAATAAAAAGAAAAAGAAAGTATACCTCTGGTTTGATTGCTGTTTGTGTATGTAAAGGCAGAGCCCCTCGTTGTCTCTTCGTTGTATCGCCTGGCAGCGAACACTTGTTTTCCCCATTCCTCTGCCATCCTGATCTGTGAAGAAGGTCTCTTGGCTATTGGACGTTCGTCTTGCTTGTAACCTCCTGAGTCGTTTGGCGGTACACATCAGACTTCAGCTTTTATACTGATGCCTCAGTGACCTCTTAGAGGATTACTTTATAATCATATTACAGCAACAGTGTGCCATTTGGCTGAGATCTTCCCAGACAACGTAAAACACATTTTTTGACCAGCACCAGACGTAATGGGGTTAAGACACTGAGTGGATTTCCGTACTCTCACTTAATATGTAGATCAACTTTCAGATCTTTCACCATTTATCAATGCAATACATTTATCAATGCTTTATGCATGACATCTCCAAACAAGGGTAACAGGTACTTCCTAAAATTATAGCTATGTCGAATTTAAACAAAATTGTGTGGATTTAAAAAAAACAAAACTTAATTCTATAAAATACAATGCCTTATCTCAATTCTGTTTGGTGTAAAGAAACATGCTTGGCATTCAGACAGTTTTGCATGAACTGAGTTTGACATTGCATGATGATACAGGCAAGAAATGTAATGATCTGTATGATATTCACTCCTTGTAGGAATATGTGGAAGCTCAGTTTAGCTGGAGAGGACAGACATCTTTAAGCAGATTTTGAGGACAAGACTTTGTTGCTTTTAAGCCGAATCGAAATGTTTAATTAAACCAACAGTAGACAGTAACATTACTATCTTTGAATATACAACAAATAATTGGTCAAAGGATTTGTAATTAATATTAACTGATAATAATCGAATCCTTATCCTGTGACAATATTTTTGCTGTTTCCTGTTTTAACCATACTTAAGCACTACATTTAAACAGACCAAAGCTTAAGCTCAGCATATACAGAAAACAGCTCCATGTTTTTTCCGTTTCTCTGTGTTTGATACATACACACAGATCTTCATTAATAAATTCCTTCCCTTCTCTTGAATAACCTTTGGTATATTTTCAGGCAGTTAGATATTTTACTGTGCCAGTTGTAACTGTTGACATGTGGAACAAGTAAGACACCTTTAATCCGTCCGGAAAGAAGATTCACCCCAGATGAGTGGATGTTTTTAACCTCTGAGCCTACCTCTCGGGTCACGCTGATAATTGCATTATTGACCTATGGGATCCGTTCCAGGAAACTTCTACTTTGAAAACTATTCTTTCAAATCTTTTGCAACACTTTTTATTCTATTTTTATTTGTAGAGTTTTAAATGCATTAAGGTCCACCTTTTAGTTATGTAAAGTGGTAACTGATCGTTTTACTGTAATTTTGCTCAGATAGGGATGATGTAGGGATATCTTCGGCTATCTCTAAAAAAGTAACTCAGGTTGAGTTTGCAGTGGAGCAGGACACTGCTGGCTGTGAGTTTGTCTTTTTATTACTTCTACTTTACTTTAACATATATTTCATGTATGTTAAAGTTGTTGGTTCGGAACTGTAGAAACTATGACGTAGCTGTGAGTAATTCTGTGCTAGGTGTCTATAGTTCTCTCTGCCTCTCATCGAGTTTGATATTTTACAAAAATTATTGTTTTCAGCAAAGACAGATGTGGCATTGAGCGGTTACTTAAACTGGCTCATTATCTTAAACAATAATAAACAATAGCAGATAATTTGTTATTTTAGACCAGGTTATGAGGTCAGCATCTGTCACACACAACTGATAATGGATAGAGGTAATTTTGCAAATTGTGTTTGTTACATGTAGGTTAAATATACATTTTAGACAGGGATTTGAGGAAGAGATTTTTTTATCAGTCTGGTATGAATTGTAAATAAATCTCTCACAAAATGACTCTGCCATAACCCATAAGCCTTTGCTTATATAGCGCCTTTTCAAGTCAAGGAGACCCCAAAGTGATTTACACTGCATTTAAGCACACATTTATACACTAATGATGGCAAGCTACACTTTAGCCCCAGCTGCCCTGGGGCTCACTGAAAGAAGTGAGGCTGTTGTACACAGGTGGCACCAGGCCCTCTGACCACCCGCAGCAAGCATTGTGGGTATTGCTGAAGGACACAACGACTGAGACTGACAGAGTGGGTTGCAGGACAAACTTCTACTACATTCTATTCCCCTGCCACAGTCCGATTAATCAAATTTATCTCATGTCAAGTTAGCCAAGCACTACATTAATGCAAAATTCATTCACCTCAATATGCTTTAGCCCCCCACCCCCGTTAATTCAGCAGTTTTGCAATAAAAAGTTACTTACCCCATAGTTTGACTATAGGACATCATACACTTTACACACTTATATGTCTGTCTGTCTGTCTGTCTGTCTGTCTGCCTGAGGGTTAAAATGATCTGAGTGAAACAGTGGGGGGAAATATTTCACCTAATATTCAGTAAGCCAGAGTCAGATACTGATGTGACCTTCTTTAGCAGCATTTTAACCAATTTTTAAGTAGCAATCAGCAGCTATTCTGTGCTATCTAAATAATAGATCTGGGGATAGCAATGTGTTGTTATGGAGCTAAGCATCAATCATTTAAACTTTTAATATTTACCTTCTTCTATTATTCACCTGTTATTTATTAATTAGTGTTTTAATCCAGTCTTTGGTATCATTAATCTTGGACATCAACAAACTTCCACCCATATCTCGGTAAAAAAAAAAAAATAGAAAAGGGAGATAGGCTTTGCCATTATTATTAAAAGCTGATAGAAATGTGTAAAAAAATAGGTCTTGAGGAACATTATATTCTCTGTGTTTGCTCAATTCCCAACCTGTTTATTGCATGCCTCCCATTCTCTGTCTCCATCCATTTATGACTACAGATTACATCTGCAAAATAGATGTAAAAAAAAAAAAAAAAAAAGAAAGAAAAAAAAGAAAAACAGTAGCTCTGTTTGGTTAGCCCAAGAATGGTGCTTGCAAGTAAGAGTGATCATTTCTCATTAAATCTCTGTAACTTTTGCAGTTCTCTGTATGCTTTCACATTATTATTCCACCTTAGATGATAAAGTAAATGTCTATTTTACTCTGTTCTATTCTATTCTAAATTTCTCCTGAGGTTGGGTCCATTGCATTAAATATCCGCTTGTGTCAGCTAGTAATTTTAGTAATACATTTTAAGGTCATAGGACTGGTAGAATACATTAAAGGTTTCTTGTATATATTTAAACAGATGTACAGGGGTTTCAAATTTATATAAATTTAAGATTATTCGATGCATAGCATTAAACCTCAGCGTCTCATTTTGACCTAATAAAACAGAAGTGAAGATATCTCATGCCCCAGTTGACGAAAGCGGATTATACGGACAACTCAGGTTGCTCCACAAAAGTACTTAACATGAAGTAATTACTGTTGGCATGCTCACTCCGTAAGACAGTAATCTCTCCGAAATAACAGGTCACGTCAGGAGCACGCTCAGGCTAATCAAATTGTCTGCAGTAGTTTACTTTAATCCTTTGACTTGTGTTTTTTTTCCCCCCCCCTTATAGGATCCATACCTTGTGCACATACTCGGATCACATATTTCTTCGTGCTCAATGTGGCACAAGGACTTCCCTCTCTTCAAGAAGTGGATGAACTCAGGAAATATGTGAATATTTCTATTATTTAATGTTTTTATGTGTCTGTCTTGTTGGTATACCCTGTTTTGAAACTTTTCAGCATTTAAACTGCAACCAGTGTTAGTTTTTTTTTTTAGAATGTTAAACTATATATGTTGAATTGTTGGAATTAACCAGTTTTTTTTTTTTCATAGTCTTAGTTTTCTATGTGATGCCTTGATATTTCGAGGGTAAGTCTGGAATTCCGCTAGTTCTGAACTATTCACGTTTGGCAAAAGTTCACTACTAGCAGAACTCAGATTTGCTCCCGATAAACGACGGGAATGACCAGTGGGGATGGTCTTATTCAGGCAACAGATGGTATACATGTGCGATGCCTCTTGGAGAGTGCTGTAAATTACTCTGGTGTCAAGTGAGCCAAATCTACTTTTGCCGCTCTCATGGTTTTGTGTTCACTTAACATCAGGTAATATTTTCTCATGGTTATATTGAATCTTTTTAATTAGTTTTTTTGTTCCCTTTTGATGACAGTATTGTTCTTGTTTTCATTTTTTCCCAGGCTTGGCGTAGAGTCCATCAGGGGAATTTCCAATGTTTGGTCTGACTGAACTTTCATTTCTTCAGAGAATCAGAATGTATTTTAATATTTTGTATTTGCAATGCTTCTTTATCCAATTTATATTTTGCATCATATGTTCTATTTAGTTTTCTGAAATATTAATATCATTAGAGCAAAAATGATAGGTAGATATAATGAGTAGAAGCAAAAATCTTCTAACATGCTTCTTTTTTCTTTTTCCTATAGGTAACCTCTGCCTATACTTATCCTTAAAGTTAATCCTATTCAGCTAACTGCTTTAACTTTATTGTATTAAAGTGTTAGAAAAGCTTATGAGTGGAAACACCAACTAACCATAACATTAAGACCACTGATAACTAAAGTGTGTGAAGCCTGTAATCTTGTTCCAACACAGCAATCTCCGGGGAATACGTGCATGCTGGCATGAAAGAGACTTTATTTTGATCTCTCTCTGACGCAGCAGGAACAGCTTGGGAAACCTCAACACTTGTTTATAGATCAGAGTCTGCAGTGAAAGCTGTTATCTGTTCATCCAGAATTCAGGCGTTTAAGATCGCCAGAAGCATTTAAGCATTATTTTAATGAAAAAAATTAAATCAAATCAAAGGGAACTTACCTTAAAGCAAGGCTCTAGAGTTGATATCCTAACACCAGAAACACCCACAGATGTTTTAATGTCAGTTACTGAGCTTTCAAATATTTTGATGGCCAAAAGATATTGATTCTGAGCAGCTGGTCTTTATGTTATCATAACATGTTTGGTTTACTTTTTCTCTAAATGTGTATTTTAATTTGTTATTTTATTGTAACTTTTACACTTTTCATATCAACACCATTTTTAAAGTCAATGAATTAAAAACCTAGAGAGGAGACCAACTTCAGCTTCAGCCAATCAACGTCGTGATTGCACCAATCATCTTTCAAGATCCCCTTCATTTAGCTCCTAAGTTAGCCTCCCTCCAGCTCACCAGCGAACTTTCACCCACCTCCAACCCATCCCCTCCCTCACTCTCTGACTATTCAGTCCCACTCACCCTCTGACTAGTAATGTCGATTCACAGCATCAGAATATTCTACCAGGGCCCGAGCATCAAATAAGTTATTTCATTCCTTGCAATAAAACTTTTCTAATCGCAGTTTTTCTCTGTGTGAGTCTGTCCAGGATGAAATGGTTCACTCTGAGCTCAAGTGACAGACACGAACAGGCCTGAAGAAGATGTGGAGACCATTATGCTGCCTGTGACATTGTTCAGCATGATTTGTTTTAGTGTGTGTGCACACGACATGTTGGAAACCGTAAACCATATACCAGTCTTATCTTTATATTTGATGAACATGTTTACATTTTTCCACTGCTGCACTTTAGAAATGGAAATGTCTTGAGAGCTGTACTGAACGAAATTTTGTTCTGTATACATTCTGTGTGCACAAAATGACAATAAAGTCTGTAAGTCTCAGTTTAAGGGCGTGTGATTTATTTATTTTTGGTGTGTTTAATATGAGCGACATGTTGGGTTGTTTCATTCCTAATTTATTTATTTTTACAGTACATGAAGAACTACTGAAATTATTTTTAGATCACACATAAATAGATTCATTAATTCCTTGGGGGGGAAATGTAATTAATTTAGGGTTAGGATTCACTTGGTGATAGACTTAGACTTAGAAAGACTTTATTGTCATTATGTACACATAGAGTGTATACAAAAATAAATTTTGTTCAGTACAACTCTCAGGATATTTTCATTTTTTAAAGTGCAGCAGTGATATATGTAAACATATGACAGTATATGATTTACAGTTTCCAACATGCAGGTTGTTGTTTTGTTTTTTTTAATAAACCCCATTTTATACAACATTTAGCAGTCTAATGGTGGTGGGAAAGAAACTGTTCTGGAATCTGCTGGACCTGCAGATGATGCTTCAAAGTCTCTTCCCAGAGGGCACAAGGGAGAACAGTCATTTGTAGGATAACAACCTACTCAGCCTACTGGCACAATTTAGAGCCATTCTATGGGCCTGATAACCGCTAATAAAGGCCATTTAATGCAACGATGACATCAGAAGCAGCCGCAAACTGCCACTTAGTATTAATTGTGTAATAGAGGACAGAATCAACATGAGGAGGAACTTCATGAGATTATGCAAAGGTTCCATCTATTAGAACAACTTTTTAGACTTCCTGTTCACCTACTGCCAGCTGATTTAACCTAAATAGAATACATGCATCCACTACGTTTCAACAAATAAACCTGTAATTTTAATGTGGTCACAATAGACTACGGAAAGCTGTTTTGATATGTATTAATTTTACTGAATATGTGTCACTGATATTTGAAAAAAAAAAAAAAACTGTCTTTGTTTAAATAATCATCTTCACATCTAGAATAAACATTCTGATCTGCCCTGATCAGGCTGTAAGAGGAGATGGTCCTGAACACTATTTATCATACGGAGCATCCCTCGGTTTAGTCACGAATGCATCCACGAGAGGGCCCACACAAACTTCTGAGCAGGAACTTGAGTTATTGTGAACATGCTTCAGTAAAAGTCACTAGTCTGCTGCATCAGTTTTCTTTTTCACTATCTTTGTGACTTCCTTTTAAGGATTGGATCGACCATTTTCATTAAATGATGTGACCTTTAGTCCTAACACATTACCCATGTAACACCAGTTGGATTATTCTGTATTTTTTTCTTTCCTATCAAGATCTAATGTGTTGTCAAAGTGCTCCCTTACTTTCACATTTTTCTAAGCAGTCTACTGTATGTCGTGAATTTCAGAATATCGGAATTTTATGAGTCCAGATGGTTACAATCAAAATTTAGTAAAAACAAAATAAATAAATAGCCCTGCTATTTACACTGTGAGGTTATGTCTCTAGTAAGCAAATGTGATAGATCATCTGCTGGAGTGGAGGTCTCTGCTTGACTGGCACCTTGAACGCCCAACCAATATTTTCACACATTTGTTTCTATTTCCATAGCACAAAAAAATGGGCTTGGTGTAGATAGATTTTATGCTAAATTCCTGTTTGAAGCTACGAAGCACACCAAGCCACTATAGCTCAAGGTAGATAAGATTTTGCACATTGTCATAGAAGTGTAAGCAACTGCATACAAAGCCTGATTATCAGCTGAAAGCAGAGGGCGCCTTCTTATTACACAACTGTTTTCAAGACAGGTTTTATTTTTCAAATGACACTTAAAATCTCCTTATCTAATGCAAACACGGGCAAATGCCTAACCCAAAAGTGTCTACAGTTACAGAGAGAAATTTCCCTAACTGTATTTAATGTGTGTTTAAACTGTTTACCAAAGAATGGATTCTTGTATGGAGAATATATATATATATATATATATATATATATATATATATATATATATATATATATATATATATATATATATATATATATATATATATATATATATATATATACATACATATATATATACTACTCCCCAAGGGGATGGTTCAAATGTAGACAGTGAATTTCCCTATTGTGGGACAATAAAGGGATTTACATATATATATCAGATTATATATATATCGTACAGTTCCTTCCACATGTCCAACACTAACTTAAGGTGTTTAAATCTTTCTTTGTGCACAAATGATTTCTTTATGGATTTGAAATGAGCTTTAAAATTGACTTATCTTTATTAATTTTATGTTGCTACATATATACAAGTAATACTTACAAGTCATGACATGTAGAACAACTTATTCACAGGTGTGTCAGGTGTGCTACATGCATTTATTTTGTAGTTTATGGGTTTTCAGAGACCTCTGTCATTTCGTAGAAGAAAAACAGAATCCATATTTTCACATCAGAATACAATTCTAAATATGCATCTTTCTTTTATGTCCATTGTAAAACAACAGCTTCATCAGATGATAATCTTTTCTTTATTTTTTTCCTTTTTCTTCGAAAACCCTAAATCATAACAGTAAAAAGACATCAGTGATGGTCATTTCCATATCATCCACATCAAGAGAAGCAGAGAACCTAGGAGGGTCCAACTTTTGAGACTTCAGTGACCGATTGACTTGTGGTTGACTCCTCTTCGTCCCCTCCACTCATCCCCAGCATCTTCCTCATGCACGAGCGGAACTGAAACCAAAAGCAAGGATACTTTTGCTACTTTGCTTACTTTAGGGTACTCAAAATGGTATCTGGTTAACTTTCGTCTTCGAGGAATTTGTTTAATGGTAAGACTAAGGAACATGTCAGAAACTTCACCTAGCACCATTATTATTGGGGTTAGCATATTGCTAATACCTAATAGTCAAACAGACACAACTAGCAAAAGGAGACATTTTTAACACCTTTGTAGGTAATTTGTTATGAAGATGAATCTAAGTATTAATACAATACAGGAAACAAGTTCATTGGCTCGTCAAAAAACATTATTTTTTTCTCAAACTTAGCACAGCTTCAGTTTTGCAGATACGACTACTCTCTAATCTTTTAATCCCTCACATAAACCCACCTGTTTGTTGAGGATAACATAGATGACAGGATTGTAGACAGTGGAGGCTTTGGAGAAACAGGAGGGTATTGTTGCAAGTCTGAGGTCAAACGGTTGTCCGCGGTGGGTCACGATCCAAATAGCAAAGGAGGCATATGGCATGTAGCACACCAGAAAGCCAAGCACCATAACGACCACCATCCTTGTCACCTCCTTCTCTGCCTTCTGGGTGGAAGCAGACTCTGCCTGGGCCTTTGCTGCCTGTCAAAACACAGATTGAATAAGTATTAAAATGCAGCAAGAAAGAAATGTATATCAAATATTCAAATCTAGGTAGCTCATAACGCACTACCAACCGATTTCAGTGTGAAGAGCAGCTGCGAGTAGCAGAAGACAATGCAAGTGAAAGGGACAGAAAAGCAGAAGCAGAAGAGGAACATCACATAGGATTCAGTGTTGTACTTGTTTCCTGATGTGTACCAGTCTGGTCCACATGAACACTGCATACCCTCAGGGATGTACCTGTCAAAACGAACAAGATGCATTGCAATATACTTCCAGCCAATTGTTAGGTCAACCATTTAACTGTGTTTTCCTCACCTACTCCATCCCACTAGAGGAGGAACTGTTGCGCACAGAGCAAAAAACCAAGTAAGTGCACAGAAGAACAAAGCATGTTCTGACTTAAAGGCAAAGTTCCCGAGTGGTTTGCAGATGACCAGCCATCTTTCGAATGCAATCACAGCCAAAGACCAAAGGCTCACCATGCCTGAGGAGAAACAGCACATTATTCACATACTGCACATGCTGACATACTGTTTATCAATGGTAAGGTGTTGCTTTTTGAAAAAGACTAATCCTTACTTAGCTACAGCTTGTTGTTAAATTCTCACTCCGCAAGAAATTTCACTTTAATCGATGAAGCATTAAATCAACTTTTACAAGAGTGCAATTATTCACATTGTCCTTTTCTTACCACCAACACCCGCAGTAAATCCTTCGATCTTGCAGCCAAGCGGACCAAGAGCCATGTATCTATAGGCAAAGCAGTAGAAGCAGGTAAAAGAGCCGACAGAAGAGACGATGAGGTTTGCCACAGCCATGTTGACCAGGATGTAGTTCAGATGGGAGCGGAGCTTCTTGTATTGAATAGTACATGCAATTGTGAGAATGTTGATGGCTGTGCCAGCCACAAACAAAAAGAACATTAACGCTGACATTGAATAAAAAAGCCCCAGGCTTCCTAAATGGTCCTGGGGAACTAGGTACGGGCTGTAAGCTGAGATGTTGTCGGTGTCCAGGGGGATGGGGATCCAGAAGTCCTCTGGAAATTCCTCTTGACGATTCCCCCTCATCTTCATTGGATTTGTGTTTTAAATAATAATTTCAATTGGATTTGAAATAAAATATGAGGTAAATGCGTATAATTTGAATCTAAACTTAAACAGTAGTACGATACATCATGTTTTTCCTGTCTTCTAAGTGAAATGGGCTGCTCTGTGTCTGATGCAGACTTACTGAAAACCTGCATTTATAGCCACTTTAAACGTTACTCCGGCTCAACTTAATTGGCTCAAACATGGGATTTAAAGCTTTACATGTATTCCCGTGACAACTTACACCACCTTTTAGCTAATGCTGAGATAAGTGTCTTAGTGTCGAAGCTCAGAGTTGGCTAGTATCTTCTCACTGCTTACCCATGTCTGAACCCCAGGAAATGGCTAATCCATTTGTTGAAGGCTACAGGAATAGGTGGTCCTCCAGCACGCATATAAACCAGCCTGTTACTACTTGTAGCTACGTTTAGTTAATATGAAATTAATTTATTATTTTGGTCGTTCAAGAATCTACCCCTTTTTAAAAAAAATATATAAATATACATGTAAGTATACCAAGGGATAAAATGCTTTGTTGCTCCAGTGAGCACTGTAGAGCATGAATTAATATAAAAGAGCAAAACATTATTATACCACCTATGATGGATTGTTTTTTTTCTGTTGTTTATTGAGTTAAATAATCCATCAGAGGCGGATAATGTAACAAAGGATTGTGCTAAAAAAAAAAGAGACGTTCTAATTTAATATAGTTTTACTCTAGAAATAGTGAGTAGTAGTCATTCAAATTATACAAATAATTTAGTATTTGGTGTAAGAAAGGCTGCTTAAGTTCTGAGTAATTCTGTTTACCACAATTTATTTTAGGAAAAATAATTTGTTTTTCATTCAGTGCGCTATGTCCAGGCAGGTAGATTAGCCAGATATTTATTTATGGAAGAGTTGTGTTGTTTTACAGTAATATAACTCCAATAAAAGTTCAAGAGTAAATTGCAGCAAAACTGCTATAAAAGGAAATATTTTCTAAACATAATTCACTACCCACTTCTGCTTTCATTGCATTGAAATGTGATGATGGGATTCCAGTAAATAATATCCAACTTGATTTATGCTCTGATAACTATCTTCCAGAATGGCCCAGACAGACTATAACCAAACTAAATGCTAACAGGGTCTAAAAAAGTTTCTTGTTTCTTATGAGACTTGAATGTTTTTATTTTTCTATGTGCATAAAACATGAAAATACAGAACTACAAAGAACAATTAACATGGATGTGAAACGTTTTTTTTTATATATATGAAAACAGAGGGGAAAAAACTGAATTCTTGAATACAAACTGACTTTAAAATGCCCCCGTTTTTGCCAAAGGTAACCTAAATACAAATTAAAACTGATTATATATACTATTAGAAAAGCTTTTAGATAAAACTGTCATTTGTTTCTATTTTACAGGAAAATTATGTGATATGTTGTTTTTTTTCTTGGATTGTAAAATTCTTAAAACATTTGATTTGATTCAGTGTTTACAATTAACTGCGGATTACTGTCAGACTAAGCTGGAGCAACTTTGGAGACTTCAGTCACTGACTGTGTTGTAGAGACTTCCTCCTCTGCATCTCTTATCCCCAGCATGGATAACATGCATGTTCGAAACTGAAAGGTGAAAAAAGGAAAATTATAGTAATGTTGAGCATTTGTTGGAAAAGCATCAAGCATACATTGCTTCTCATTTAGCCGTTTCTTCCTGGACATTGTCTGCAAGAACCAAGAGGCATTTAAAGATGGCCTAGTGCACAAAAGTGTCTAATATACGTAAAAAATAAATAAATGCAGTGTTATCATTACTGATTAGAATAAATAGCGTGTTTATAAAAAGTAACTTGTTGTTGAAGTCTTTTTAGCTGCTGTTCACCTGTTTATTGAGGAGCACATAGATGATTGGATTGTAGATGGTGGAAGCCTTCGATAGGCAGGATGGTATAGTTGCTAGTCTCAGGTCAAACGTTTTCCCTCGGTTGTTGACGATCCAAACAGCAAAGGAGGCGTAGGGCATCCAGCACACCAAGAAGCCCAGCACCATGAGGACCACCATTCTGGTCACCTCCTTTTCAGCCTTCTGGGTGGAGGCAGACTCAGCTTGGGCTTTTGCCACCTGTTGAAAATGAAATCCGTTTCACTCTGACCACTGCATTCACTGAAGAACTCAATAGCCAGAATTGTTTTCTCACCATTTTAAGTGTTAGGAGTAGGTTAGAATAGCAAAAAATGATGGTGGCTAATGGAACGGCAAAGCAGAAGCAGAAGAGGAACATGACATAGGACTCATTGTTGTATTTGTTGTTGGTTGTGTACCAGTCTGGACCACATGAGCACTGCAGGCCTTCTGGAATGTACCTGGAGAAAAAGCACTACGTGTTCTCTCATGGTTTAACAGCCTTGCTAAGCAAGTTTCTTACATTCTTAACATCTTGCTTACCTGCTCCATCCAACCAAGGGTGGAACTGATGCCACCAGTGCAATTATCCAGGTGACTACACAGCAAGCTGTAGCATGTTCAGGCTTGAAAGCAAAATTACCCAGAGGTTTGCAGATGACCAGCCATCTTTCAAAGGCTATGACAGCCAGAGACCACAGGCTAACCATACCTGCAATAACAAAGAAGAAACATCAGCTACTTTTAATGTCATTTTAATATAATCAAGCATAAAAGGTCACCTCAATTCTAATCTGTGTAGCAGCTAAAACTTACCTCCTAGTGTTGCAACGAAACCTTCAATCTTGCATGCTAGTGGACCAAAGATGAAATATCTGAATGTAAAGGAGCAGCATGCAGTGAAAGAGCCAGTGACAGATACCAGTAGGTTTGCCACAGCCAAGTTCACCAGGATGTAGTTGAGGTGGGAGCGAAGTTTCTTATATCGCATAGTGCAAGCAATGGTGAGGACATTAATTGAAGTGCCGGCCACAAACAGAAAGAACGTGAATCCCGCCATGGTGTAGAATGTGCTCAAATTGCCCAAGTGGTCCTGAGGAACTCTAAAAGGGCTGAGGGATGTGATGTTATCCGTGTCCAATGGGATAGGGATCCAGAAGTCCTCTGGCAGCTCTAAGAGTCGGGTGCCCGTCATTTAGCTTTGTTTCTGTTGAAAGCACTAAATGTAATGATAAAGGTTTAGATTTTAAAGTCAATCACAATGGAGAAGGCATACATGTGCTACCATGTCCGAATGTCAAACATACCTCTTTCTCTACTTCAGATATTTATAAAGAACACCCCACTTCCCCCATACAATACTACGTCATGAATAAATTGATTTGATAATTGACTAATTGATTGGGTTTTCCCATTAACTTATCTAAGTCATTTAGTATTCTTCCTACTGTGTTGCAGGTGGAGTTGCAGAAAACCTTTTGCATGTGTTTTAAATGTCTAAATAGACAATCAAATCAAGGTAATCTTGGCAATCTAATCTTGGAATAAGTCTGCTGATTTAGTGGGTTTTTTACTCAGTTATTAGTTGTGAAAAAGTTTCTTGATGCGTTTTTTTGCCAAATACCTTCTTTTCTGTGGAACTTATTTTTTTCCATACAGAACCCTAAATAGAAAAGAGCAAATCTACATGCAAGTAGTTGCAGAAAGGTGTTACACGGTGCACATACTGTATCTTAAGAAGTTTGTTAAAAACCAGATTAAACAAGTTAATCCCACATTCTGGGGGAAATGCTCAGCAGGCCATTGCCTGTTAATCTGTTTGCCAGTAACATCATGTCTCATAATCCCATGCAAAGTACAGGATAATCTATCCCGCTACTTTATCTGTTTGTGTTAACCCTTTGGCAATTAGCCTTCGTCACAGAGCTTAGAGGATTCTTCCTGACAGAGTAACCACAGAAGTCTCCTTCTGACACAGCAGCAAAGAAGATTTTTTTTTCTTTTCGCATTTCAGAGCAGGGTGAATGTGAAACAGACCAATAGATGGAAAATAGTTGCACATCTTTCACAAATGCATATTCACATTAGTTGGACTCTAAAAACTCTTCCAAGTCATTTTTTGAGGTATAAAATGCAACTGAGAGTGTAAATAAATCCTTCTGTGTGAACTATTTATATATATATATATATATATATATATATATATATATATATATATATATATATATATATATATATATATATATATATATATATATATATATATATATATATATATATAAATACAAAAATATATATTAATATATATTTTTACATTTACCCTAAATCTATTAGGATTACATTAAAGTTAAAAGTTTGACAGATGTGTCACAAGATGTCCATCCAGTTTTTCTACTCATGCTTTCTCCTGAATCACCACCATGTTATAGGAACTGAACTTCCTGGGTAAAGACAGAACAGGATTAGGATTATCCCTAACAACCAGCACAAAGTCTTGGTCCCTTTTCTATTTTTATTTGACCTATATAAATGCTGTGTAACATATTTGGGAGACATTGCTCATAATAATAAAAAAACCAAAACAAAGTATTAAGTATACACATACTGGGTTTTTCTCTGGAAGAGTAACAGATGAATGCTGAATTCAGTTTGACTGTGGATGATCCTAAGAGGTTGAGGCCATTTTGCTCCTAGATTAGAAAGGGGGAGCTCCTTCTACCTTTTCCATTTTCTTTATAATATAAAAAAAAACTAAAGAGAGTAAAATTGTGGGTAGCTAATTAGTTGCTCAACAACAAGAAAAAAATGTTTAGGAAATCAATAAATTGAATTGAACTGAATTGAAATGGTGTTAATTGGAGTGAATTTAGCTGAAATGAAACACAGGTTTGTTCTTGACTCGTCTGTTTGGAACAAGACCATAGCACAAAGTGCTTTAACATTACTCTGCATGAATCAAGCTGGGCTTCCTTTATTCCCATCTTGAAAAACCTATTAATGATAATCCAGGGGATTTATATGAATAATTTATGCCAATACAGTTCTTAATCTCTTCTAGTCTTGCATCTCATACAATCACAATATTGTTTTACAGAGTTCCAAATATTGCATATAAAGGAAAAGGAACAGCACGTCCTTTAAAAAGCATATAAACAAAATTCAGGTAGTAAAATATTTCTGTTAGTCTATAAATTACTAAATGGCTTTGCACCAAATACATAAAATACTTTTTTCAGTCTGTTAAGCCCCCAAATCTCTCAGGTCTGTAGGCTCAAGTCTACTCTGCATACAAAGGACGAGAACCAAACATGAAGAAATAGTTCTTATGCTCCACTAATCTGGAAGAATATCCAATAGAACTGCAAAAAGTGCTAAAAGCATAAATTGCTTGAAATTGAGATTAAAAACAGACTTGTTTAGAGTGGTCGTCAACTGTGCTATCCAAATAGTATTACTTATTCTCTTTTGGGTCATTTTATAGTTTTTTTTTATAATCATTCTATGATTTTAATAATTTATATTTTTCCTCTTTAATTATTCATGTCTAAATATTGCTACTCTTACTTGGGTAAAATAGGTGCCTACCTACCACAGATAAGTTAGAGATTAATTTACCCAATATCAGATAAATAACACTATATTGTTGCTGAAAGTTCTTTATCCATTTCTGAAGTCTATGCATTACCTTCTATAACCATAAATTTTCAAGTTCATATTAAAGAAATATGATCTGGAAATTGTATTCTTCTGCCTGACTTTGTTAATTTGTAATCAGGCAATGTTTTCTTGTTTTTAATCTTTAAAATACTAGAATTAGCATATAGAGCTGTGCTTAAAGGTTTATATACCCTCTCATTAAAGAAATATCATAATAAATAAAAAATTTACTTAAGGATAATTAAATATATACTATATATGTTTTTATTTTGTTTTTATTTATTATCAACAGTTATTGCCTGTCTGTTTACCTTAGTTTATATAAAAATTTGATTTTATGATTCAACTAACTCAGTACTTCAGCATACTTTCTGCCAGCTACATTTTTACGTATTATATATTTTCTTGGAAAACTATTTCCTACTTTTCTTGAATAAAAAAATTTAAAGTAGTGCTATACTTACTCGAGTAAAATATTTGGGCCCTGACCAAATAACCCTAACCTACATAAATAAACTTATCTTGCAAATATATTGTCTAGGATAGGATAGGATAGGGTCTTAGAATCAAGAATAAAAGTTTTTTTACATTTGCAATAAAAGTAGTAAGAAATTTGATAAACCACAATCTGTGGCAAGAAAACTATTTTATTTTAAGGGATGTTTTATGTGTATATTTTATATATTAAAACTTTGATAAATCTTGCAATATGTGTTTTAATTGTAGAATAATCTATTTATATATGATTTGTGAATGTATTTACCATTTTTACCAAAGATAATCAAAAGAAATTCAGATATCTTTAAAATTACAGTAAAATAGCCTTTCGGTTTTGAATAGCCTTTCAGGGAAAATATATTTAGGCAGTGTTGTTGTCTGAAAACCTCCATTGCCAGCTCTTGAGGAGTATTCCAACTGCTGCACCGATGCAGTACAATTGGAGATGAAGATTCAGTTCAATTCAATTTATTTACATAGCACCAAATCACAACATGGAGACAAAAGGAGACAGAAGCAAACATACAGAAAGAAGCAGATATACAAAAGGAAACTGTAAACCAGCTCCACAGGCGGTCCTGACCAGGAAACATACAGCCAGGCAGACGAGCTCTGAGTCAGCTCCCATGTCAGAGGATGAAGAGAGCACATCCAGCCAGTCATAGTCAGAGAAACAGGACTACACTGAAAAACAGGCCGATCTCAAATATCTATAAACAAAGGTGTTGATGGCAGCAGCACAGCTGATATTTCTCACCAGGGTGGTGTTGCAGCCAAACAGGAGCAGACCAGATGAAGCTACTATGAGACAAAGCCGAGAAAGCATAACATTAGAGATTGAACTAAGGTATTCTGCAGAGTGGGAGAATAGAAATAGAATAAAGCAGAATGATGAAAAATGGCTCCCAAGAGTGATAACTCAGCATAACCTGAGCCACTCTAACTATAAGCTTTATCAAAAAAGAAAAGTTTTAAGCCTATCCTCAAAAGTAGACAGGGTGTCTGCCTCATGAACTAAAACTGGTAGTCGGTTCCACAGAAAAAGGGCCTGATCACTAAAAGATCTGCCTCCCATTCTACTTTTAGAAATCCTAGGAACCACTAGTCAACCTCCAGATTGAGAGCAAACTGCTCTGCTAGGAACATAAGGAACAACCATATCTCTGATATAAGATGGAGCTTGGTCATTTAAGGCTTTATGTGTGGAGGAAGGAGGATTTCAAATTCTATCTGGATTTAACAGGAAGCCAATGAAGATAAGTCAGGATAGGAAAGATATGATCTCTGTTTTTAATTTTCAACAGAACTCTGGCTGCAGCCATTTGGATCAGCTGAAGGCTTTTAACTACAGTTTGTGGACTTCCTGATAGTGATGAATTACAATAGTCCAGCCTTGAAGTAACAAATGCACGGACTAGTTTCTCAGCATCACCCCTGGACAGGATATTTCAATTTTTTTTTTGCAATACTCTGCAGATTAAAAAAGGAAATTCTAAAAACCTCTTTGATATGGGATTTAAATGACAGGTCCTATTCAAAAATAACACCAATATGTTTTACCTAATTATCTGAGATCAATTTAATCCCATCCAAATGAAGTGACTGACTAATCTGCTTCCTTTTCAAAGACTCTGGTCCAAAGACTATAACTTCTGTTTTGTTTTCATTCAGAAGAATGCAGAATGCAGAGAATTTTAATAAGATGGAGACTTCCGTATCCTTGACTATGTTTTTCAACCCAAATGGAAGTATTTATAGGCTTCTGCTTATATTCCTCCACCGGTGAGAGCAGTGGCTTCATGACATAGCACGTGTTTGTGTTTCCTAGACTATAGTATAGCCCAATTCAACCGTTTGTTATACTGTTATTGTTTGGGCAAATTGGTTCTCATGAGAAAAGACCTATTATGGTTCCTAATTAAACATAATTAAATTTAGGAAACATTCTAGAGTCCTATAACCACAATTCCTTTTAGTAGGTTACAAATCTTCAGACAGGTATGATAAGTGGACAGATGTAGAAATAAATGTGTTACTTTGCACTTCTTTCACTGCCTTCCAAGC